CCGGAAGAGCGGATATTTTTCAGAAGAAGATGAATGTTTTATAGGTATGCGAGATCGCATCCATAGACTGCTAGTGAGTATCAACTATTGGGGTACCGAACCAACCGATGCAATCCCACTTGAGAGTTTCAACATGACCCTCGAAAAGGCCACAGACGTACCCCATCAGATTGACAGTAGAGGGGATTGTGGGGTGTTTTTGTGTTGGTTCCTGGAGATGTCGATCGCCGAAAAATTATATTTTATAGAGGGTAAAAGCGGTCAATGGCCATGTCATGTCGTAAACGACTGGCGGAATTTTTTTGGGATACAAGAATAAAGAACATTTGAACATTGTAATATTACTTTAAACAAATCCCTTAAGTTTATGTATTTATTAGGTTTTTGTTGATCTTTAAGATTACATTTGCATTTTAGATCTTATAAAAATAAAACTTAAACAAAAAGAACAAAACACATTTTACACATATAAAAAAATCTATTCTAGAAGGACTATCCGGAATCCTAATCCGGTGTTCCGGAGACCTCTCCGAAATGTTATATTCCGGATAAAATGGTTATTTTAACAAAAAAAAATGGTCATTTTTTCAAATAGTTCATTTATAAGGGTTAGTTTACTCAATTTTCCTTATAAAAACCATCTAATTATAATAACATCATCTATTTTTGTCGAGTAAGATGGTTTAAGATACTATGAAAACTTAAAAACAATTAAACGGCTTTTAACCCATAGAATTTTTAAACCATTTTTCATTAACATTTTTATTTTATTTTATTTATTATAAATCAAGTATAACTTAAACCAATCTACCTTGCAAATCAACATATATAATGATGTGTACTATGAAGATCTAAGGAAGGTACAAAAATGAGAGATTGTGGGAAGAAAACATGGAGTAGTGGTGGTGGTTGTTCTTTTGCAATCATTAATAAAGCTAAAGAAAAGAAAAGAAATCAAATATAGAAAAGATCTGATGAGTGTATGCCTGAAGGTGGAGATCGATCGCTCATTGTGTCAAGGGGACCCAATCAAAATCTAGTATATTCTTATATATGATGTTTTTTTATATATTTCTTTAGTTCCCATCTGTATATGCTAGGTCTCTTTTAAAAATATGAAAGAATCCACATTAATTAAACTAAAAATCCTGCAAATTTGTGTAAATGATGTTACAAATTGTCATCTGAATGATGTTAAAATGGAATGAGTTTCTTGTTCAAATCTTACAAACTTCAAAACTTTAAGATATAACGGTTTGAAAAAGAAAATATACTATTACCATTAAATAAGGTAGTACTTAAGCGTAAACACATTTCATACATATTTAAAGCGTCAGAATTTAAAGCGATCAACGACAAAATGATTGGTTGTAAATTTTCACAATTGACGTGCATGCACCGGATTATAACAAAACTCACTTCTTTTTTTTCGTTTAATTTTTTTAGGTCATGTATTTTATCAAAAAAAAATCGAATATACAATTGTTCATGATTTTTCGTCCTCTTTCCATAGAGATCCATATTGATATAAAAAAAATGGTTTTTTTTAAACTCACTTCATTTCTTTGTTTTTTGAAAAGCTAATGTCTATTTTCCTCGAAAAAAATTAATAAATATATCAAAATTCATATTTTTTTATACTCTTTAAACATAGATTCATATTGATGTAAAAAAAATGAAATTTCAATATACATTCACATTGGAATGTTAAAATTGAAATATTTACAATTCAGATTCACATTGTGAATCTGAACTGATCGAGGGTTTTTTTTAATCTATGTTGATGTTAGTTGCTAGAGGACAAAAAAATTGAAATTTTTGGTATAATTAGTGTTTTTGGGTAAAAATAAACTTAAATATTGAAAAAACAACAAAACGGAGTGAGTTTTTTTCGATTTTTTTTTAAATATATCAACATGGTATGCAAGCTATTTATTGATCCAGTTATATTATAGGAAACACCATTCACTTTTGAAGCCATACCCTCCCAAATAATAATGATCAAATTTTCCAAACTAAATCATACACATTTTCCTAGAGTTCGACATATGTTCTTACCAAAGCTATACTACTAAACGATTGGGTACACATGCCCAATTGTGTTTTAGTCCCTAATACTTCTGGTGAAATCGGTTATATATATATATATATATATATATATATATATATATATATATATATATATATATATATATATATATATATATATAGCATTCAGTCATTATCTTGTGTGTGTGCATGTGAATTACAAATCCTGAATTTAGTTGAAATTGTTTTTCATCCTATTCATGCAATGTGATGCCAATGCGCAACTTAACAATGGCATGCATGATACCTAATATGGCATTAGTGGGACCTTTTATGGGAAGTGTTTTTAGATGAGCATGGCTTGGTGGATTCACTAAAACACACATAACAGAGAGAAACGCCACCATTGGTTATAAAGTTTTGTCAACTCTTGTCTATTGGCAAAAATACCCTTCTCAAACGTATCACAAGAAACCCATCACCCATGCTCTTATAAATGAATTCATCGACTAATAATATTATATATAAAGTTATCAGAAGAGATATTTAATATTTTGGCACTTGATTTGGTATAGTTAATTTAGCAAATCTATATAGTAGTTTCCCATCAAATATTGCAATTCACAGGATTAGGTCAAGGACAAAATAGTCATTCAAGATTAAAACATACCTAACATCATCAACCTAAATGACAGGTCATAACAACTTTTGTTATTAAACCAAAAAGCAAAAGCAAGAGTGTCTTTTGGATAATTATGCAATGATTTATATCATATTATCAAGGGTAAGTTTTCTCTAAAGTTGAAATTACCAAATCCAGAATAATATGTAACTGTCATTCCATGACAGGGTATAAATCAATGCATGCTTGCTCTAAATTTTACCATTTGAGCTCTGGAGTAGTTTCTTTTTACTAAAGTAAAAAAAAGTCTTGAATACCCTTTTCCCATTTCTTGGTTCTATATAAGAGCAAGAAGCAAAGAACCTAAAAGACCCCGCTTGAGCTTTTTCTATGCTAAAACCATTGGAATGTGCATTGGGGGCAAATAGGAGTGCAAGAAGATGAGATGATAGCAGATTATCTTTGTTATGTCTTTTCTTCTCCTCCATATTTCAAATAGTTTGATTATGGCATTAACCATTTTATCTGATGGATAATGCCAAAACAAACCGGCAAGTCACAAAACGGCAAAGTAGACTCGTTTAAGTCTTATATATATATATATATGGCTAAGGCTAATGTACTGTATCTGTTTTATGTTATTAGTGTTGTTGCAGTTGGAAAAACGGTTTGTACGAGAGAATATAATAAAACGAAGCTTATATAGTTATATAGGTATGATGTTTTTATAAGATTTTGTTATGTGTGTTGATTATGTTGCAGTAATATCAAAGTGGTTTATCGCTCTTTTTTGTAAATTCCTCTTTTCTGTGTTGAAAATGGAAAGGTTGTGTGTTAAGTTCACCACATTCCACCGGAATTAAAATTCAATTTCATTATCATTTGCAGGATTTCTACTTTCCATCCACAAAGTGGTGGGATTCGACTCATATACTCCATCACCTAAAATACTGAAATACCCTTCTAGTTCATCTAGAAGTCATAAATTTATATTTTCGAAAGACACTGATATAAGTTTTAGTGTTAATCACTTAATCTTGCTTAAAGAGTTAATTAAAATTCTTACCTATAAGGATGCTTCTTATAATAATTTAATTTTCCGTAATATAGCATAATTATATTGAAGAGTATGAAAGGGAAAGTTGATGATGTATCATGGTCAACTGTAAAGCACAATATGAGAAGGTTACAAAAATCAAGAAACCAGCTAATATTAGGAAAGAATAATGTGTCTTTCGTGAAAAAAGTTGTACAAATAAGAAAGAGATGTTTCTAATCGAGGTTGCGGAGATGAAGAGATATTGTAAGATTTACAATCGATTAGTTGATCATGATATGAGAAACTGTACGTATAAGAACAAACAGTCATAGAAGTTTGGGTTTCATTTGAAATAGATTTTTGCGTTGATGTTTCTATCATATTTATGATTATTAGATTTTGTATATGTTTTTTTTTTCTTTGAATAAGATGTTTACAATTCGAATAACTTTGTATTATTATCTCATAATAATTATTTAAGTGTTTAACTTCATTTTTCATATCCATAAACTGAAAATTGCATATTCTCCAAGAATATTTTATAGAAGGATATATTATAGTGTCTTCATTTATTCTTAAATTAATGGTATTCGAAAGGAATTTCCAGTATCCAACGAAACAAATATGGATACTTGTAAATCTCACTTAGAATATTACCATATGTTTAAGAATACAACCATGTAGAAGACGACTTAAGCAATAGTGATGAGTTGTCATCCAACTAAGAAAAAGATGACTTGTAGCTAGAAGATCATGAAAATGACATGGAATAACTTAATGATTCTTATTAGTTAAGTAATGACGAGTTGTAGGCCAACCATCTTACATGTCTACTGTGTTACATTCAAATGATTAAGTTGTAATGTTGGTTTGAACTACTACAAAAGAATCAAGCGAAAAATAAGATTTGAATTTCTAAAGATACTAGATTCCATAAGTCTATGATTTTAAAGGTCTAGAAAGGGATGGTTCATTAATAACTCAAATTGAATGTTGTCAAAAAAACTAATATTTCACGTGAGTTCTCCTTGTGTAAGAAATAAATATCATTCATGGATCTTTGGACAAAGTGGTAGATGTTATATGTAAAATTGGGGAATATGCTTGCAAACCTTTGTTGTATGCAACCTCATTCTATAAATAAATAAATAGAATTCGATATTAAACAAAGAGAGATTGGCATACAACATCACGGCTTATAATATAACTTGATATCAAAGCAAAGATGGTTATGTTGTTAAATATAAAATTCACCTTTAGTCTACTTTTAGTGATTTTTTTTTTTTCATATAATTACTTTTAACATATTTACTCATATAACAAGTGTCAACAACTCCAACACTCACAAATGGTCAGATCAACATATTACTTCGACCCCATGAAAAGTCAAACCATATTATAATTGTTACTTGATGTTTGCATCAAAACTTCCAAGATCCTCTTCCAGCCTTCAATAAAGATGCATAGAGCAACTCATTCCAAGTGTCTGGCACACCAGGCAAACACCAATGGCTGCAATCTTGGGAATGTTCTGCAGCAATTTGTTCTTCAATGGAGTTATATGACATCCTGTAAATTGAGGGATGACCATCTTTTCTGTAATCAGTAAGTCTGCTGATGTTGAGATACACAATTGGAGTTTTCATCTCTTTGAGCACATTGTCAAAAGCCCTCATTTTTGAAGGGTACTTAGTTAGGTGACTTGTATTGAAGATTGGTTCGGTTTCTTTGTGACATTTCCCTCCCGAATTCCATTGCCCTCCTCTGTAACAAAATTATAAAAATAAGCCAAAGGGTTTCTATAATATGGGACAAAGTGTGATTTGCCTTTGGCCCTAAATTTTAATAGTAGAGAGATGTGAAATTTCCATATATCTATCTACCCCAACCTCAACAACTTTTACAAAATTATTTGACTATGTATAAAGTATCTAAAATACCCCTTGAATAAGGATAGTACGTGGGAGTTTTGTGGACCTACATAGACTAAGCTAAGTGATGATGATGATGATGGGCGAATAGGTCATTTTACGCGAGTAATAAGTGAACAAAAAAAGAAAGAATTAAACTTACTTAAAATGAGTGACCGAGTATCCCCTGAAGATAACTTGCGTTTTATTGCTGTCAATGTTTGTATCAACCCATCGGGCCCATGTAGCAAGTGCCCTACGGTATGCATCAAGAACCTTTAGCCTCGGGTAGATATAGTCTCCTTCTTGATAATAATCTTCCCTGTAGTTTCAACAAAAACACAATGAGTTACGTGAAAAGGGCATTCACGTCTTTTGAAGAGACAGAGGATCAAGAGTGCATCCTTGTTACACTTTTTTAGGGGGGACAAAATTATTACAATTTTTGTCTCATTGACATTGGTCACAGTCTGTCGGTTTCAGTCCAATGCATGTCAGTCCTAGTCCAATGCATAACAAACACAGTACAACTTGTCCTGTCATGTATTATCTGCCAAAAGGTAAAGAGAGAAAGTTGTTCTCACCCTTGAGAGGTTTTCTCGTGGGTCCACCAATGTCCAGTGTTGAAGACCAAAACGTCAGCATCATGATACATTGAAGTTGTTTTGTCCATCAAATCCAATCTTAGTGTCTCAATCGAACCATTTTTACCATTAAAAGACGATTCTTGGACAAGAAATGGTGAACTCACAAAATCGATTGTACAGTTGTAGTCCTAAAACAAACAATTAGTAACACAAAAATCAAAAACTTGTTTAATAATCAATTTAAATAAATAGTATGTTGTGAATTTAACAAGTTTGGGAAACTTGCCTCGAATCTGAAAGCATAAAATCCCTTCTTCTTGAATTCGGTCTTTCCTGATATTTCATAAACCCTATTTTTGTCCATGAAAGACTCTCGGAGTATGCAAACTAAAGACTCCCACATGTTTCGGTTTAAGGAGTCCCCTACAAAAACCAGCTTCTTGCCTTTGAGCCTTTCGAGAAAATCGGTTGCATTCAAACTGAAACGCACGTAAATAAATATGTTGTTTGGTATACATGAATGGAAAATTAGATTGAATTAAATTGACATGTAGAGGCAAAAAATGTCCTTTAATGTAGATTTTCAATTCAAATTGAGATACGTTATTGTAGTATGTGTTCATTTGGAATATATATACATAGCCAAACATATATTTATTCGACCTTTGACTATTGAGATTCAAACGTGGTGCTTTTAAAACTCGACTTCGTATGCTTTTAACCTAGAAAAACAAACCTTTTTGTGTATCATACAAATCAATAAAGTTATTGATTCAAAAAAAATGTATCACATATTCACATCTATGTCAATTTCGGTATTTAGCAAGACTGGCTATTAAAAGAAAGTCAAACATTAACCACATTTTTTGGAAATTCGAGGGGCAGCCTTTTTACGCAATTCTGTTGAGTATTAGGTCACTAACAAATAAGAATTACATCAAACTATCAAAGTCATTAAATAAGTCAAATCTGCCTTGAATGTTCATTCAATGCATCTACGGATAAACAGATCATTTCACATTTATTTCAATTATCTGAGTCGTACTTATAATCGCACACATGAACCACCCCCTAAGCATACTAAGTCAAACAAAGATCTAATCGGATACTTTGATCAAAACTACAATCAGAAAATCCAGCAAATTTATATGGAAAATTAAAGTTTAAGCAGTTGACCATTCAAGATTATGCAAACGCAAAACAGATATAGTAATTAATATTCGAATCAAATAAAATTCTTTAAGTTAAACTGAGATTAATTATCATTTTACCTGGGGATTTCACACTCAAATGGCTGCCATTTCCATTTCACGTATTCATCATCTGGCCTCTTATTAAGATGACAATCAAAATCTCGATCGATAAAAGGGCAAGAACCCGCTGGATATAAAGGCTTTGTATCATCTCTCACCCATCTTCCATTAAAAATATCACATTTTCCACCTATTGAGACCTTCCCCTCAAAGGGTTTCACAGAAACTGCATCAGAGCTTCCATTTTTCGCATCTTTTGTGAAATTACTAGAAAGGGTACCCTCAAAATCAAACTTTTTCTCCGGGTTTCCATCAAGGCTTCCATTTTTCACACCCTCTGTGAAATTCCCAGATTGGATGCCCTTCAAATCAAGAACTTTTTCCGAGCTTCCATTCTTCACAACATTCGTGAAATTATTAAAATGGGTACCCTCCAACTCAAAATTGTTTTCAGGATTTCCATTGAAACTTCCATTTTTCAAATCCAATTGGGTGCCCTTCAAATCAAAAACTTTTCCAGCGCTTTCGTTTTTAGTATCCCGAGTGAAATTACTAGAAAGGGCATCTCCCGAATCAATGATTAATTTTCCAGGGTTATTTTCCAAAGAAACAGTGGCATTGAGAGCAGGGGTTCTACTAAAAGAAAAGGACCAAGGAATCAAAGAGGTTTTATTATTAGCATTAAACCCTTGAAAAACAAAGTTGTTTGAAATGGGATTCTTGAAAGAAACATTAAAGAACAAAACACAGATAACAATGGAGAATGACACAACTCCTAAACCAAATCTAGAAACTACCTTCTTTCTTGGAAATGTAAAGTACGGGAACTGATCCGAGATTGGAACAAGTTTCTTCAAGTTCATGGCCATGTCTAGAGTAACACCATAGGGTTTAGATGATATAAAACACACAGTGAAGGTGTTTGTGTGTGAGAGAGAAAGATTATGTGTTCAATGAACAGATGGTTCGACGATTACAAGGATGAGTGTGCAAATTTTGTCAACAAGCTCTGAATAATCGAGGTTTTTGGGTGATAAATCCTATGAAAACACAGATTCCCACTGAGTTTTGTGTGTGTAAAGGTTTCGTTCCAAGACAAGATAGCCAGGTTGCAAGGAACAGGGAGAAGATGAATAGCACACGCGAGATCGGAAAGAGGGATGAATTACGTTAATACCCTTTTGCGAATAAATACTCGTAACTCATTAAAGTTCCTTGAATTAAAGCCATAAAATAATAATTAAAGAATTTTTAAAATTTTTATCAAATAACATGTCGGTGGGTTTTGAAAAATCTTTTAAAGGCTATAATACTTTTTATTTTTTTTGAACAGCAAGCAAAATATTAAAAAAAGAAGAAACAACTCAAGCAAGAAGCTCGAACAAAATTACAAGAAACAGTTTAGAATGGGAGAAGGGCTCCAAACAGCCCAATCTAAAGAAGTATACTTAGATCAATGCTTAATCCAATTGAAAGTAAATAAACTAATATCATCCGTTGTGACCATGGTAGCACGTCTGACGTTCCTAAAGACAACCGCGTTACGCTCCTTCCAAATTAACCAAAGAGTGGTGTACACCAAAGACAATCTAAGTTTCTGTATTTTTTTGCTGCTGGTACACGAATTGGTCATCTTCAATAGGTCAACCTTTGAACATGGCTGGCTAACAAGGATTGAAGACCAGTCCAACAACCACCTTCATAACACCACAGAGAAGGACTTGCAAGTGAAAAACGAATGATCGATATCTTCCTCCACCTCACAACAAAACGGATAGTAAGTAGAAGTGACGATAATACCCCTCTTAATTAGGTTTGAAGCAGTGACAATTTGATCTTTAAATAAACGCCAAATAAAGCAATTAACCTTTTTTGGAATCCACTTAACCCACATAAAAACCTCAGAATTACCAGTGTTCGATCTCACAGCAATCAGATATCTAAGAGATTTAACAGAGAAAATATCACCATTATCACCTGTCCACGGCCATCTGTCACCATTCACAGTAAAACGAAAGTTAGCGAGACGATTGCACATAAGCGAGAATTATACTTAATAATGCATATAATATGTTTGGTTAAGTTTTTATTTTGGAAAAATGTATCATTCAATAAGCCATTGGGACCTCATTTTTCTTACTCAAGACCTCTCCAATGGTCTGAAAGGACAGCTCATCTTAACCAAAACACATCATGCATCAAGATGTGGGTTTTTGGGACAAGAATGGTGTCAAAACTTCACCATACATAGATCTACACAAAATAGATGTCAAGCAAGAAGCTTTATACCTCAAAAGGGCTCCAGAAGATGATGCCTTCCCAGATCTACGAGCTCCAGCTACCCAACTCCTTCCTTGACAACTTCTTCTTTCTTCTCCTAGGCTCTCCTTTGCCAAACCAAGCTCCCCAAGGTCAAATATCCACAACCATGGAAGAAAACGGCCACTTAGGGTTTCTGAGAGTAAGAGGGCAGATATGGAGGCTAGGGTTGGAACCATAATGTTCCTTATATAGTGGTTGGCCCTAAAATTAGGGTTTCTGGACACTAGACGTACGCTGGGCGTAAATCCAGTACGCTGGGCGTACGTCGAGGAACTCCGCATTTCATTTACTCTATTACGTTGGGCGTAACCCAGCCTACGCTGGGCGTACCCACGCGTGTCCCAAGCATGCATGGCCTTTCTTTGACAACTTTTCCATTAAGTGTCATAAGTGTCAATATCTTCAAAGTGCCATAACTCCATTATTCTAAGTCCGTTTCCGACGAACTTTATATCCACAAAAAGGGGGCGAGAAGCCCTACGCTTCTAGCAACACACCCCGACCCGAAGCCTTCTCGAATAAAACCCATTGCCCATAAAAAGACCGAAACGCCCTTACTCTTGATCTCGGGAATTCCATAAATAATTACTCTTAGAACGGGGCGTTACAATTCTCCCCCACTTAAATATGATTTCGTCCTCGAAATCGCCAATTGCCAACTCTGGCTACCCAAACTTCCAAAAGGCACATTCACGCCCCTAAAGCGTGACGACCACTAAGGGAGACCAGCCCCACTGGCACTCCTCCTCGAAGAGATACCTACTCCACTGTGGGAACCTGAATTCCCATCCTGAAAACAGGACCACAAGTCAGACTCTGCTGTTGGCCACACTTGCTCCCTCTTTAGCTTATTCCCAAACGAACATACAACGATACTCTTACCGAAACCAACACTCACGCCTGGCCCAATCAGCCTAGGGCTGGAATACCAGGCATGCCTACGACGGGTCCGCTCATCCCTAGGATGGAATACCCTCGCATCCTACTCATGTTTGGCCCAGTCAACCCTCGGGTTGGAATACCAAACACATCAGGTCCAATAAATCATAGGGTCCGGTCATCCTCATGATGGAATACCCCAGATTGGAATACCTCCACATACATAACTCAAACCCAAAACCATACTCGGAACCAAGGACCTTGTCCTTGCGTCCCCCTCGAACTCTCCGGTTCGCCACACTTGAGTATAACCCACTCATACTTCCCTAACACAATCTCTAGGTCCTTGACCTACGACTGTACAGTCCTCATCATCGATCCAGACTGCTCCCGAGTCTGCTAACCTGCTATCTCGCCTTCCTTTGTCCAAACCTCCAATCTGGAGACACTATCCCCCTCCTCTTCCAAGGAGACTGAAAACATGCCTACGCATTATCCAACCTCTGGTTCAAAGATCCTCGACACTTGCAAAGCCCTTACTATGACTGAACCGCCTCATCGCACCATCCCAATAACCAACATTCAAACCCCGTCAGACAACCTTCTACAACCAGCGGCTCATCCGAGAATTTCCAATTCTCCCCCACTTAGGGCACTAACCCCTATCCACTGGCGGAGAAGTTAACACACTGCTCAATCGAACCCCACTAATACACCGAACTTCAAGGAACCTGATTTCCTGCTGAAAGTTCCAGAATTCCCAAACCATAACCTTCCTTCCTCACGAATTCCACATCGGATACTATCTCTCTAACAACTCTCAATACTAACTCTTCTCTAACACATACAACACTTTATATCTCATGCAAGAAACAATAACTCAATCATACATAAACAAGATAAAGCAGAAAAACATACCGGCTGACACCTCTGGCTCAGACCTGATCGCCTCGGTCACAAGCTGATAAGCATGCCCTGGAGCCATCGGAGGCTCTGTCCGACCCTAACTCCCGTCAGTAAGTCTCAACGTGGATGGCACTGGGGCCTGCACTGACCTGGCAGCCAGCAGAGGACACTGGGTCTTCATATGGCCCACTTGATCACAATGATAACAAAGTCGGACTCCTGCAGATGGAGTCGACTGCCTACAATCTCTGGCTATGTGGCCCTCCTTGCCACACCTGTGGCACCTCGAAGAAGAACGGCAACTACCCTCGTGCACCTTGCCGCACTTCTCGCAAGTGCGACTCTTCTGACCTCCCTGTCGATAATCAGCTGGCCTCATGCCTCTGCTCTCTCAACTGGAGCTCCATCTCCAACTCGCGCCGCCTGGCAGCCTCCTGCAACTCCAACTAGGTACTACACCTCTGCGTGGACACAAACTGTCGGATATCCCTCTTGAGCATACTCAGATATCGGGACATCTGAGCCTGCTCCGAAGCAAACTCCGGGCAAAACATCGCCCTCTCAGTAAACATCCTGGTGATCTCCGTCACCGACTCTGAATCCTGCTTCAGCTCCAGGAACTCCTGAGCCAACCTCTCTCTCTCAACCTGTGGAACATAACGGGTACTGAACATCTCCCGGAACTGATCCCACAAAACCGCTGCCCGCTGCGCATCAGAGTAAGATCCCGTAGTCAACCTCCACCAATCCTTCGCCCCGAGCCTCAAAAGGTTCAGAGCACACCTCACCCTCTGATCCGCAGGGCATGAACACGTGAGGAAACAACCCTCCACGTCTGACAACTACCTCATAGCAACAATCAGATCCTGAACTCCATCGAAAGTAGGGGGCTTCATATTGTCGAAATCCCGATACTGAAAACCCCGACTGGCTCCTCCCCCTGCCACTGCCACAGTCGCTGTCTCTGCAAGAGCTGTATAGCGCTCATCAAAATACTCAACCATGACGGTCTTGATCGACCCAAACAGTTCCGACAACTCAGCCCGAAACATAGCAGCAACCTCATCATGTAGGATCTCACGAATCCTGGCATCCAACTCGTCCGTCCTCATCTGACCAATAACCTCGGGTGGTGCCGATCCATCCTGACCACCCTCTCCCGATCCCGAACCGGATCCTGACTCGAGACGTCTCGCATCTGCCATACTGCAATAAACCACAAGAACCTCAGATACCTCGCATCACCGCCGAGAAATAACCTCTAACCAACGACCTAGGGTTGTGACTTCCTTGACACGCGTATGGGTCATGTGCTTTCAGTAGTACGGGCCCATACTACCTTCCACACCTACCCATATTTGTCTCAAGTATCATCACAACGACCTAAGCAAAAACATACATAGCAGGCACTCAATCCTCACCCCTAGAGGAATACTGAATATCTCATATCAAGAAAACCCTAGGCTAGCAGGCAACACAAATCAGGCAATTCTATCATGCAATTCCTAAAGATCCCTAGCCTAGTACTAGCATGCTGTTCTAACATATCTCATAAACAAATAACTTGTATGGTATTTTGGGGTAACTTACTGGCTCCGACTGATCGTACCCTTGCGTCCTCCTTTACTTATTTTGAAAACCATTTGAAAACTATTTTTGAAAATCTCTCCTTGATTTGAGACTGGATTCACACGAATGTTCCTCCAATTCACTCAAACCAAGGCTCTGATACCAACTTGTAACGACCAAATATTTCAACCAATTTAAAACATTTTATTTCATTCAAAAACCATTACGTTCATACATCTTGTTCTCAAAACAGTTTAAACATCAGAGTATTTCCCCATAACCATATCGCATAAAACATAAACATGAGGAGCGGTACGATCACGCCTTCGCCTTGCCACGATCTCCTGAAGCACCTGAAACAATAAACCACAACTGTAAGCCCGAAAGCTTAGTGAGTTTCCCCCAAAGTACCCATACACACAGAAACATACACATACAGCAAAAAAACAACCTACTACGGGTCCATTCAACCTTCCGGTTGGAATACCCCCGGCCCTCAA